CAGAGCTAGAGTTTTGCGTGAAATCAATTAGATTTGCGATGTTATGTTATGGTATACATCGGCGATAGTGGTCCCGCGATGGCGTTGCTTTTCGTCTTGTCGAATTGAATGGGATTGGCAGCGAGTCGCAAAAAGAGAAAAGAAAAGCGTGAAAAATTCCGGCTACACAAATCGATCATGTAGATTGTATGTACGTCGTCAAGGGGTTGCGCCTGGCGCTAGATCCCCCCCAAAATGTCCCAATCCAATCCCCCCAGACGGGATTCCCAGTAATGAAAACGTCCAAGCAAGCCAAGAGCTCGTTTACAGCAAGAGACCGGCCACGAGGCCCGCTGCGACGGCAACGAATCCTGCAGCACTGGCACGGTTGATAAGGGCGCTGCTGGGTGCGGGAGTGCCCGAGGGAGCGGCACCGCCCGTTGAGCTTCCAGCGGCAGAGCTCGCACCACCACCCAACGCAGCGGCTTGGAACGCATCGAAGGTCTTGCCCGTCGCCGGCGCGTTAACAGCAAACACCATTCCCTACAAAAAGTCAATATAAATCACAAAGACAAGAGGAAAACGCACCTTGTTGCAGTGGACCACGGGGTTGGTCTGTGCGCAGAAGAACCAGATGGGAGCCGTAGCGTTGTTGACGGTGAAACTCCACTCGGGGACGGACGTGGCGTTGGCGGCAACGAATTGGAAGCCAGAGTCTATGCCCTGCGTCGGTGTGGTCCTGTGAGGAACTCGTTAGATCTCGATTGTGACAATAGAGAACAAGGGCAAGCGTACTGGATGGCACAGGGGTTAGCGAACGTGGATTGGGTGACGCTCTGCGAGAAGAAATGTCAAAGAGAGCTGAGGGACGGATGGGAGGCATACGTGGTTCTTGGACAGGCTGGGTTTTTCGTGAGACAGGGCAGAGATCATGAAAGAGAGAGAACGGACAATTGGAAGGAGATGACATCGCCGACGGCGGCCGTTACGCTGGACGGGTTGAACGTGAGGGTCTGGTTGTCGCCGACCTTGACGAGGATGTCTGCGGCGGCGGCGATGGAGACAAGGGAAGCTGCAGTTGCAAGAGTGGAGAAACGCATGGTGTCTGTGTAGGCAAAGGGGCAAAGAGCGCTGCTCTGGTGGATGAAGGGGGAAGGAAAGGAAGCTGAAAAAACACAATGTGACTGTGCTCTTATCTGGTTTGATGGAGTTGACCACGTGTGTCTATTTTGTTGCCATTGAAACAACCCTCTCGAGAGCCAATTGGGCGCCAATTACGGCGCGAATAATCATGTCGACAACCATCCATGAACACTATTTTACTCGTCCCTCGTCCCCACTTCTTCCAACAACGAGCACCACCCCGGTGAAACGCGCAACACCGACGGCTGTCCTCGGTCGGACCATCACAGCCAACCCCCTTGCATTAGTTCATACACTTGGCAAATCACCTTGTCATCGGAACTAGCACCCAAGGCACGCACCCCTGCCTCAAACACCCAACTCTTCCCCTTCTCATCAAGGTCGGTCGCGAAAAACTCCAGCGCCGTAACCATCTCGCGGCCATATGCGATGAGCGCCTGGCGCTTCAGGTAGACGGATGCGCCAGGTCCTGCGGCATCGAACGCCGCGATAAACGTCCGTGTAGCAGCGATGGCGGCCTCTTCGGTCGACGTGGAGGCAGTAAGGATATGGAGGTGGGCAGCTATGTATTGGTTAGACCATGCTGTAGCCTGGATAAAATGCAAACCGAGCATGCCGATTTCAGCGCCGGGAGTGGACACGCCGAAGTACTCCCAGTCGACGAGTCCGAGTGTGCCGTCCGAGCCAATGAGGATGCTTCCGGGCCAAAAGTCCACCATACCCAGACACGCTTCCGTCGTTTCAGTCGCAATCCCCACGCGGATCCGGGCACTCAGAGCCTCGGCGTCTTCTATACCGCGCTCAGACATAATCTTCAGAGCCGTTGTCGATAAGAACACCGCCGGTCCCTCTGACCGGCGTCGAAATAGCGCGATTGTCTCGGGCGCTGGACTCGCAGTGGCTTCCCAGAATCGTGTTACGAACTGCCCAAGACTGCTTGCGATGGCCCGCACGGCGGCTTCGTCCGGTGCCGAAGAAAGCCACTGCGAGAGCGTCTGGCTCTCACCCAGGTCGGATATCCAGAGAACGTCGGCCGTGGTGTCGTGGTGGATTAATCGCGGGATACGCAGAGCAGGAAACTGGGCAAGCAGGTCTTGGATCTGTTGCGTCTCGGCGAGGTACCCCAGCGCAGCGGCCTCTACACGCTGTCTATCGGGCGACAAGGCCAGGGTGGGGTCTGCTGCGATGTACGGCGGCGCATGCTTCAATACGATAGAGGTCGTGGGCTCGGAGATGTTGAAAAGAGTCGTTGGTTCCACAAACGAGACGCGCACAGTCGCGTTGGTCAGTCCGCCAGTCAAGGCCGTTACTTTGAAAGGCACCGAGACGACTGCAGCGAGGTATGAAGAAAAGTCGAACATGGCCTCGGAGCCGTCATTTATGGTGAGAAAGAAAGAATCGTGACCGTATCAGAAACCTACTCCTTCTCGTCGACGTACGCTACCTCCGCCTCCCGCCTCATAACCTTCTCCAAGTCCGGGGCATCCGTATGCTTCTCTCCATCCAACAGCTCATCAATCTCCTCCAACGTCTTGCCCTTGGTCTCAACCCAATACCAGAGCACAAATGGTATCTCCAGCACGTTCCACGCGGCGTTGATAATGTACATCTTCCACCCGATTGCGGCGAGCGCGATGGGGAAGGCGAATACCGCCATGAGGCTGCGAGTAAAAGAAAAATGAGCAGGGGGGGGGGCGAGATGAGAAGGGACGGCCTACGCGGTGCCGTTGAGAGCGAGTTGGACGACGCCCATGCCGTTGGCGCGGATAGCATAGTTCAGCACTTCGGGCGGGTAGACGTAGAGCAGTGGGGTCCAGCCGAAGCTGTATGAGCCTAGGATATTGTTTTCAGGGAAAGTAATTATAAGGGACGTGTACATACCCATGAATAGGAAGATACACGCGACCGTCGCGTATATCCCGGCATTGTTCGTCGAGTTACCGTATGCTAGAGTTGACTATGAGGTCAAAATAAAGACCCAGAAGAACAAGCCCAACTCTTCGTTAAACCTCCGACCAAAAAGAGGAAGATCGTGAGCGATGAGATGCTGATTACAGCAGTGGGTTTGCGTCCCAGCCGTTCAACGTAGTATGTGCCTGCTAACGAACAGAGAAGGCAGAAGGCGTTGAGGATGATGTTCTAGGTCGATGGTTAACGTGGTTATTAAAATGCTGGGAGCGCACTTACAATCTGTAATTGAGTCGTTTGATTCGTTATCCCCGCATTGTCCAGCATCTGGCCTGCGATTTATGAGCGGAGGCATCAGCTTGGTTGCGAGCAACTCCTACCAAGATAGTAGGATACGATCACGTTTCCTAACCAGCATGAGACTTTGGGGTTGCAACCAACAACATCGACAACTTACCTGCCACAGTACTAAACACGGCAACAGATGTCGAGAGCACAATCCGTTTCCTCGCCGGAGGGGTCTTGAACATCTGCTTGAGGGACAGCGGCTCTGGGAGGCTCTTCTCGAACTCGAGGGTGTCGATGATCTCCTTGTATTGAGTCAGGACGACCGGGTCGTTGACGTCGCCGTTTGCATGCGTAAGGGCGACGGTTCTGAGGGCATTCTCCGTTCTTCCCTGGTACGCCTCCCAGCGGGGTGATTCCGGGATGTAAGGGAGTATCAGGATGCACATGATGCTAAAGACGCCTTGCACGGCAGAGGGAATACGCCATGCCCAGGTCGACGGCATGAATGACGTGCCGTAGGTGACGCCAGCGGCGATAAGACCACCTACCTAGATTGAATTAGAGCAAGCGCACATGGAAAGAGTAGATAACGCACATAGTAAGCATCGTTGAAGATACCCAATCCCCAAGCACGCCACTTGAATGGCAAGGTCTCAGCCAGATACGTGGGGCCAGTGAGGGCCGATGCCGTTGTCCCAAACCCGATGAGGATGCGTGCTGCGACGAACATTGCGATATTCTGCGCAGCTGTCTGAATGACAACCGCGACCAGTGTGATTATCGCAGCCCAGAAGAGGGCCGGTCGCCGTCCGATAACGTCCGTAACCCTGCCGAAGGAGAGGCCAGCAAGGATGCCCCCAATCCATACCGACGCGGTGTTGAGGGAATTGGTCACTAAGTTGAGGGCAAAGTAGTCGGTGTACGATTCGAGGATGTTGAGTCCGTTTCTGCGCCTCGTCAGTCTCGTTCTTGACGCGAAGAACGTGTACATCATAGAAGAATCGTAGCCAAAAGTCTTGGGGGTTTGTTATCTCACGTCTGAGAGGGCTAAAACAAGACCAACGGTGGATGTAATGAGAGAACAGGCGACCAGGAGGACGGAAATCAAGAGGGACGAGCGGGGGACTCTGTCCCGGACGGGAAAGGGCAGAATGTTTCCTGAGAAGGACCTCATAGACCTGGACGAGGAGCGCCTGCCATTCCTGAGAAATATCGCGCTTTCTTTGGACGCTTCGATTGGAAAAAGAACAAGAGTCGGCAAACGGCGCACGTGAACAAAAATAAAAATATCCATTGGAGATAAGATTGATAAGCCTGCACATACCCAGAAACACATACCATCCGCTCTCTTTGACATTATTCTTCTCGCAGAGTGTCGCCAAATCGAGCTTCGCCAACGGTATTATCAGCTGCGCAACATTGACAATCATCGAGTCTGCTCAACGCCCTCCAGAAGGCAATCCTTCCTGTTTCGTCGACGGTGCCTATGACGGTCTTGCATACGGCAACTCTCTTCGGATGAGTCGCATCTGAACTTGAATTAGTTCAATCGCCTGGAGCTTACACTTTGTGGGAAAAACCCTGCTGTACGTCAGATTCCACCACACCGAATGCAAAAGGACCTCTCTCGCTCTCTTTCTCGTTCCTTCCAGAGTAAAAAAGACGTCAAAAGACGGCACAGTAGCCCACCGCGAGGGTCGAACTCGCAGCCTTCAGATACGCGATTTCAGCCCCTGCGTCGGTCAGCAGAAGATCGTAAAAGTCTGACGCTCTAGCCGATTGAGCTAGGCGGGCATAGGGTTTCACGCCACGTAGTGCTCTCCGAACGGTACTGAGTAAAGATGGATGATAACCCAAGGATATGTCGCTGGCAATCGAGTTGAGGCGTTCAGTAGGCTTTGATGGAGCCTTTAGCGCTTCGAACGGTACTCCATTCGTGGAATCGATACAATCCGCCCAGCACACGACTCGGAAGAACAGCGTCGTCAGAAAGAATCGATACACACAACCAAAGACAAAGAAGTTTGTTCAAGGACGTGGTCCGCGATTATTGCCCGCTGTACATAAGATGCAGCCCGTTCGCAGCCTGTCAAACCATCCAGAGGTTAAGTAAGATGACCGATTGCTTGAAAAGGGAGCCTACAAATCTCGATGAAGAACCACTTTGAAGGTAGCTTGAGCACAGAGAAACACGTTTCCGCAGGTAGAGCCGACGTCGGCGTTGAAGGTACCGCCAGTGCACCCTGCACAAGGAAGAATCTGTCTCGACGAGGCACTCGCGTGGACCGCGAGACTGAGAGTAGGGAAGGGGATCGTGTCCGAGTGGGAAGTTGGAGGTTGCACTGGAGTGCCAACGCCTGTATCGAATATTCTGAGTCGACGGCGAAAACCAAACTTAGAGGACTTCGAAGCGGAACCAACTTTCTTTGGGCTTTTGGATAACGGGTGTGTTAGGGTGAATGAGTCCTCCAGCTTGAACCGTGGCTTTGTCGGTGCGTTTCTGTCGCGTGAACGGCTGAGAAGTTTTACTGGTTCAAATGATGTGGTTGTGCAAGGGGCGGAGATGGTGGGACTATGCTGACGATGGCCCGGTCGGCGGGAAAGCCAAGAGTCTAGGGAAGTTTCTCAGAACCAGTTGAAGAAGGGAATGTATATGGCCGACGTACCGTTCTCCAACGGCCCTCGCACGAGCTTGAACCTACTCATTCAAGCATCATCGACGTTCATACCCTCCCCTCCAGCGGTCAGCTCCTCCTGGACCTTTCTCTTCAAAGTTGCATGCGCCTTCAACGCACTCTGCAGCTTCGCCTTGACGAGCTGGTCTTGGTTTTGCTGCAAGAAGATGGGTTTGCGCCGAAGGTGGGGCTTGACGGCGCCTTCATTGCCAGTGGGAGATTCGGAATCGATAGTCGACGCTGGAAGGGATGCAGCGAGAGATCTCAGGTTCAGAGGCTGGTCTGAGTCGGAGCTGGACATGATGATGAAGGCGAGATAAAGGTGAGTGATCTCAACTTCGACCCACTTTGTTGATGGAAGCGATTGCACCGAATAATATAATGTAGAATACAGGGCACAAGATAACATAGGTGGTCATGAAGTCGAGGACAGAGCCGATTCTGCACTGCTTGCAGATCCTCGTCGTCTCCTCTCCTCAAAGTGCCGCCGGGAGCGACGGACTTTGTTTACAATGCTATCGACCCGTCCACGGCGCAGAGTCCCATATAGCCCGGGCTCGCGCTCGCAGTCCGAGTCGTCCTCGGGATCGCATTCCTCCAACTCAAGGTGCTGGGGGAAGACGTCAGCAGAGAAAGTGAGAATGAAGAAAGGAGACGCACCGAATCACGGAGGGCAGGGTCAGGGAACGGCATGAAGCACCGCGAACAGCGGTACGTTTTTTGATGCCTGTTCAGGATGCGCTGCAGAAGGTAAACATGGAAAGAGATGCGAGAGGATGGGGAGCACACCTTGACAATGCGGACATCCAAACGATTGTGAAGCCGGTAGAGCTTCGGGTGGGTGACGGCGTAGTGTTCTTGGAGGTCCTCGTAGTCGTAGTACGGGAGCTGGCATTCAGTGCACTCGAGGAGCATGATGGGCAGGGATGGGTTGGGAGAATGTGGTAGAAAGAGAAGAGCGAGAGTGAATCAAGACAGGGAGGCGGCGACTTTATACTGCAGGCAACTGAGACAGGGGCTGATTTTATCGAATGCATCCGCGGATGCATTCAAGAATCAGCTGAAGGGAGAGTCGAGTAGACCAGCGAAGGAAAGCGATATAATGAAAACCGACCTCAGCCAGGAAGACGTGGCGTAGAATCGCAAAACCCAGTAAGGATAGGCACAGAACAGAAATGGACGTTGCAGTTTCGAATTGTATGGCCGGCGCGACAGATGCGCTTGATAATAGTGGGGAGTTGGCGATGCGATTGTGACTTCCCGCCGAGCGTGCGGACGCAGTCCGAGGGAGGTACATCCGATGCTACAGGCTTCTTGTGCCATGTAGCATCGAGATGGTGGCTTGTTATACGTGGAGTCGCGTACGTATACGAGGACCTGGTGCGCATGTGCGCGGGATTTCGTCGACGATTGATCGAAGATCTAGAGCTGATGATCATGATGCTTGTTGCAATGTTGGCCTGAGCGAGTTTACAGTGTTGAAATTCTAGGTAAGTATTATACATATATGTACGTCTAGAGTTGAATGCCAGCATCAACTTCACTCGTAGATTTGAATCGCGTTAAACTCAAAGTACGCGTCTGTGAACGCAGCGGGGTTTTGGTCCACGTAGTCTGCATTTATATTAGAGCTGCCCTAAGCCGAGAGGACAGATACGCACTGTTGCAGGTCGAAGGACAGCCGGAAGCGGCGTATACGGAGGCTGATCCAGCCCAGTCACCACCTGCAGCGTTATTGGCTTCCGAGGAACACTCGGAAAGAAACGCACTTACAGAACGTCAAATTGATAATTATATTGTGTCCGGTCGGGAAGAATTGTGGGATGTTGCAGCTGGTGTTAGGGAAATTGGCAGTAGGGGTGCCCTGGATTCTGTCAATGATAGTCGAAAAGAACGAAGGGCCATACCCAGGAGGAGGTATCAACACTTGAACCTCCCTCGGCCACGTCGGTGGGCACGTTCCCAGCGGTCCGCGACCAAACCCAGACCTTTATGAACGATTCAGTGCGTTCCACAGCGTAAAACCCTCCTCCGTTCGCGTTGAAGCTTGGTCCAAAACTCGTTGCATCGGGTGCGGTGACTCCACATCCCGCGTTGCCATTCACCGATGTATCGCAGTCGAGTTGGACGGAAGTGCTGGACACCTCATTAGCAAAAGATGGAGAAACAGGGCACCACAAACCCAGTTTGGTCTCTAGATGCGGGCATTGTGCAACCCGGTGCCGTGTGTAGTGTGATTTGGTCAGTGCCCATCGAGTTTACACCTTCAAGGATGTCAACTTCGCCCTGGAAAAAAAGCATCAGCCAAGACGCGTTGAGAACAAATTCGCAACTCACACCGGCCGGCCAGGTAGCCTCGTCAGTTTCCCAAATCGCGGGCCATGTGCTGAGGAACGATTGGGTCTTGGAAGCAAAATTCGAACTAGACAACGCACCCGCAACCTTGGGGCATGTGCTGAACATCGAAGATTGCTACGTGTGTCGTATAGGCTGCATTCGTCCGGATACGGACCGAGTTCCGTCCCACGGCGCTACTGTCGCTAATCACCGTCGTGGCATCCGCCCGGAGAACAAACTTGTCGGCGGAGGCAAATGTGAGGTTCTGCGATTGTGCGGTAGCCATGTCGACGTAATTTCTGGTAGATATCAACATGCGCGCGGGTGGGAGAAGAAAGAAGAAGGCATACACCCGGCCGCTCGTGGGATCGGCGATATTTTCAAAGTTGAAAGCATTGTAGAACCCAGTCCCGACAACGCTCTGAGTGCGCGAGTATGTGCCTGCGAGAACGGGCGCAACGGTGGAGACGATTGTGCAGAATACGGCAGCTTGCTTCATGGTAAAGGAGGGTTGGGTTGGAATGAATGGCTGGATGGGTTATGTGAGAAGAGGATGGAACTCGATTCCTTATATAGTGGTCGCTCGAACCAGTTTCTTGTGGTCGGTGCGGTCATCGCTGTTTTTTTTTGGTTGTCAACGAACAAGGCCACGAGGTCCCTTTCCGCCGTGTCGCGCGCCTCCAAGAAAGGGAAGTTAGGGAAACCCACAACCACGATGTTCCCAAAGTCCGATAACGCCTAGATAATCCAAATTTTCGCAGCGGCAACGAGCGATCCCATGTGAGGCCCTCGAGACAAGATTCGGTCGTCAAGGAAAGAGGCACAGAGATATTACGGCCGAGAACCTGGTTGCAAGAGTCAACGCGTTTGATGCCTATTTTTGTTGAAGCTGGTGTTCTTCGCACGCGCGGCAGTCTCGTTTCGTGAATAGGCATTTGTCCGAATTGTCGAGCTGAATGGACCGTGTTGCTTTCCAACGAACTGTGCACATGCCAACTGCGAGAAGGTTTAACCGGTGGTTGAGCGACTTGAGAAACTGGGTTCACGGCGCTGGAGAGCACTGCGTGTGTTGCGTCGAGCTTCCGAGCTCAAATCGAGTTTGTGGACGGGTGCATCTGCGCTGCTTCAAACGTCGGTGGCGAAAGGCCGCTGAGTCGCGCCGCCGACAGAGTTCAGCTGCAACTGCACAAGACCCTGAGCCTAATTGAAAGCTTGACTCAGGTTAAGTTCAGAGGTCGCTGGACTTGGCAGAGGTGGCGTGGCAAGAGTCGTACAGGTTTCAATCGCAATGGGCCATCGTTGTCGCTGCAGAAAGTTGGTTCAAGCCGTGACCGTCACGCGAGCGATGACTTCCTCCTCGACATCGGGTCGTCGTCCAGATAAAATCTATAGTAGGATATAGGATACAAACGATAACTGTAAGTACTGGGACGCCACCGTAAGCTCTACACGGGAACACAGAGAAACAATTGAAAGATATCGTAACGTCATAAAGGTGTGCTTATTCTAATTTCTAAGGCATGAAATGAACCTATCCACATGGACTGCACCGTTTTCAAGAGATTTTAACCGTATTAACACTGTCGGCTTTGAGGGCCACCGCCTAGCCCCGCCCGCCGATTCACCACAGTCGAAAGACTCGCGTTTGGCGAGGCGTGGACTGGGCGACAATGTGGACATGGGTACCAGCGTGCAAATCCGAGTCAGATGCGGACGGGCAATCATGTCCTGACCACGAACTGGCCGGAGACGTGTCGGGTGTCAACGCAGGCGTTGAGCATC